GGCCTGGCTGGCAGGACGGCAGCAGAAAAGGCTTCAGCCGCTGCAGTTTGAGCAAAAAGGAGAGGAAAGTGATACAAAGTCGTAAAGCCATGACCTAACCGGAGACAAAGCTGCGTGTCAGGGCTGAGTCACAAGCTTCAACTCATGTCTTCTGCTTCCTGAAACCTTTTCTAGGTCAGGAAATACCCGGCGAAGAACAAGCTCGGCAGCGGCGGCGTTGGTTATCCGCCGGCCACACAAACCCAAACTCTGTCAGACTCCAACCTTGTGCGTGTCGGAAAGGCAGAGGACAGCGCTGTCGGTGTGATTATCCCCCGCTACCTGAAGAGGTGTTTGTTTGACATTCCCGTCTGACAAGCGGCGGGACATGAAGCGTTCAGGAGAGGAGGGGGGTCCCCTCTGCAGTCAGAACCCATTAACAGGGGCTCGACTTGGGCTACACATGTCCACCGACTGCAGCAGGATGACATTTAAAGGGGAAGATGTCTCAGCTCTCCTTGACTCACTCTTGCCAAAAGGTTAAACAGAACGTCGGAATAACAAGCAGGCCGCTGACCGCTCCCCTCGCTCGGCTGCAGCCTCCGCTTACGAAGGTGCTTGATCAGCGGCGAGATGAAAGCGGGAAGCGAGCGAAATCCGTGCAACCGCAAAACGACCTAATTTTGGGGCCTAATCTCGCCTGGCGATCGGCTGCAATTAAATCGAGATAACACGTCTGAATTTGGGAGCACCGGGGAGAGCCAGACGAGTCCTCGTTAAAGACGGGGAAGAAAGGAGCAAAGAGGAGTCACTTAGGTGGTACAGGAGGCAGGAAACCTCCTGAATAATGAAGCGCAGTTGGAAAGTGAGCGCTGATCAAATAGCATGTTCTATTATGTGGAATTAAAGGTGGGAACGGTGGGCGAGTCGGCCCAGATTTCCACATGTCACCCAGCCTTAATCTGCCGATCCGCCATTGATTCCTCCACGCGGCCCTGACCTTGCCAGGAGAGCTCTTCTGACAATCCGGCGTACATCAAGGAGTGTGTGAATTTCCCTAAATGTGTGTGCATGTGTGTGTGTGTAAAAGAGAGAGAGAGAGAGAGAGAGAGAGAGAGAGAGAGAGAGGGAGAGAACATCAGAGCAAGGAAAAACTGGAGGCTGCTTTCAACACTTGTTTGCACAAAGGTGTCATCTCCGAAAGCAGCTGCCGCGCAGAAACGGAGAAAAATGAGAAAATTATTTTAATGGCCAACACGACACACACACACACACACACCCACACACACACACTTTTACACACAAAAAGCGTTCACACAAGCACGGACCAGCTGTGATGTGTTTGTTCTTTTCATTTAATCTACATTTAGGCTTTTGTTGCTCCATAATCCGGCTTGTTAAAAAGCTGGACCTGACAGGTTGGGATCGATGCTTCGGAGACGAATCAGAGCAGTTCTCCAAACGAAACACAAATACAAGCGCTGGGTTTTGGCGGAACAGCTGCTATCCGAGCGAGCGCACATGTAGCATTGTTGGGAACAAGAAGGTGTTTGTAAAGTTGTTTTTCACCGTCATCAACATTTAATTATGAAATCTGAACGTTAGTTTACACCTGCTCAGCAACCTGTCGCCTGTCGCGCCCAGACTCGAGGAAAGTCGAGGAAAATGTCGGAAAAGAAGAAGAAGAAAAAAAAAACTGGCGAGACGCGGCGGAATAAGTGCAAACAGCAGGACGAGGCCAAATAAAGACTTTACATTTTCACTCCAGAACGACTCAAATGAGGCATTTTTTTAGAAATATATATATATATATATATATATATATATATATATATATATATATATTTTTTTTTTTAAAAATGCATCCTCCTCCTACGCAATGCATAAAACATGCTGGCTTAGGGGGTAGGGAGTGGAGAGAAAAAAAAAACTCTGAATGCATGCAGTTATTTGCCAGACCAGTGAAGTTTCAATTTCTGTGTTTGCTTGTTTTTCTGGGGATAAAACACAAGAGAAGCGAGAAGGCATGAAGAGAGACGAGATGTGGGCCTTTTCTCCGACTCATCCTGCAGAGTCTGGAGTCTCACACAAGTTCAGGAGGAAAACGCCGCCGCCGCGTCGCTCTGCCTCCACACAACCAAAGCAGGGGTTAACATCACGGCTGCCTGGTAAGGCTTTATCCCGAACCGCTCCGAACAAAAGGCCCCTTTTGCAAACAGACTCCTACTTTTTTTTTTTTTCCTCCACCCCACAGTGTCCAAAGGTGTTTGCTGAAGTAAATCTGCCTAAATCCTGCCAGGAGGGGAGGGAAGGTGTTCCAATAATCCCTAAAAAGAAAGTTGTGGGTGAGAAACGGAGTCACATGACGGCTGGGGACGTCTCAATGTCCGTCCAGACAAGACACCTGCTCTCCTTATCTGCTCAATCCAGGATTTCTTTTGATTTTTTCTTTTTCTTTTTTCTCTTTTTCCTGAGTGTCCGTGAATAGTGTGGGCATGCCATCTCGTAACACTATCTGCGTGTCAGGAGGGGCCGGGGGTCCCTGCTGGAGTACGGAGGCTATAAAAGACTCGTAACCAGGGGACGAGCAACAAACAACCACAAACACCCTGGTTATTCCTCTCCAGCACCCACCCACCACTTTCTGCCTCCATTTTTCTCTTCCTCTTCTTCTTCTTCTTCCCTCCTCCCCCTCCTCTTTTCATCTCGGGCCCTTTTCTGATGCTGAATGCAAATGTGTAGCCCTGCTGCTGGCGGCGAGAGGGGCTGAATTGTGATTAAGGAGAAGAAGAAGAAGAAGAAGGAAGAAGGAGAAGAAGAAGAAGAGGAGGCTCCTTTTTTTCTCTCTCTTCTTCTTTGTTCTCCCCCCGGGGGGATGTTTACCAGGAGAGACACGGCGGATCAGATATGAAAGGCATTCAGGTCAGCATTGATGTGAGCGAAAGTGAAATCGTACCTAAGGCATTCCAAAGAGAGCCGCGGTGTCAGGGGGTCCGGGGCCGCCGGTGCCTCCTGCGAGTGTGTGTTCAGAGGCCGGCAGGCACACAAATATCTGCACACAGGCAGGAGGACGGGCAGCCATCACAACGCACCGATGGCAACGAGAAAAATGTGTCAAGAAACGAGAGAAACCAGGTCCGAACCGCCAGCAATCAGCCCCACAGTCCGCTCCGCTCTGAACAGCACAAACACACAGAGCGATTCTGAAACCTGAACCCTCACGTTTTTACCCGTCACAGGATAAAACCTCCCTGAATGTGACTTCTCTACAACAAGTCTCATGTCTTCCTCAGAGTAAATAATCCCAGATTTCCTTCCACAGGAATCCAGCAGCTTCCTGCTGGGGTGCAGCCCCGTGTGGGAATGGCAGCCCGGACAACCCCCCGCCACCATCGACGGCATAAACATGTAAATGAAACACATTACCGCTGACAATCAATTGTCCACGAGCGCCCTGCGAAACGCAGCCCTCCTCCTCCTTCTCCTGCTATTTTCTCCTCTTTTCCTCCCTGCGTGATGGAGGCAGGAGTTTAAAGGGAAGGTGCAAACTTTTTTAAAAAAGCGACGGGTTTCTAAATATTCCTGCAGATTCCCGCTGCTTCGGGTTATGTAATCGGTGAGCGTTCCCAACGCTCCGGAGTCACGGGAGAAACACACCAACGCAGATATTCTGTCATTTTCCTCCTTAAATGTTGCTGTTTGATGCTCGTGCTGCTCGAGCGAGAAAAAAAAAAAAACAATCCCAGGTGTGTGTGTGTGTGTGTGTGTGTGAGTGTGTGTGTGTGTTCCCGTTGGCCGCTCACAGCTGGATGTGACAGGCAACACCTGGCGGGGGCCAAACTCTCAAACAACTTCACGCTGCTCGGATCAAGTTTCGCACCAGGAAAAGGCGAAGAGCCTCTTCTTCTTCCTCTTTTTCGTCTTTTTGTTTTCGAGCAACAAAACAAGAGTTTGAACGTGTGGCGAGGTTTGGAGAAATCAAATAATCTGGGATGTTCAGCACCGGACTGGACGGTTTATTTGACTCAAATGATCTGAGAGGGATTTGGTGAAATTAGGCGATTTGGTTTGTGGATTTCAGATTAGAAATGAAGCAGCGAGGGGCTCAGCCGTCCCTCCATCCAGGCAGGAAGAGAGGGGGGACAGGAGAGAGGGGCCAAGCCTCAGTGAGCTGCTGCATTCCCAAAAGGGGGGAAGAAGGAGGAGGACAAAACTGCTTTCTTTTTTTTTTTTTTTTAAAGAAATCCTTGGATTAAAAAAACTCCTGACACACTGAGCCGCATCTCTACAGCTTCTTCAGTTTGGGAATTTTAAAATTTGCATTTCAATAATAATTATAATGAGCAAGAAAGAAAGAAAGAAAGAAAGAAAGAAAGAAAGAAAGAAAGAAAGAAAGAAAGAAAGAAAGAAAGAAAGAAAGAAAGAAAGAAAGAAGGTGATCAAGCCTTTAAATCCAGCACATAAATATATGAATAAATCCAATAAATCAGCTGTGGAGCAAAATGCTTCTCTGCTATTGATTGTTTGAAATCAATAGATGAAATCTGATCTGGATAAATAACCAGTGCGGGCAGGAATTCAATTAAATAAAATAATAATACTAATAATAATAATAAATTGTGGGACGATGAGGGGGAACGGGACTGGGAATGTCAGCGTTTATTCCTGCACATTTCAAACGGAAAAACGCTTAAAAATGTGGAAAATAAAAACTACAATATTAATTAAAATAAAGTAACGCTTTATGGATTATTAAAACTCTAACACAATTTCGGAAAGAAAAAAAAAGTAATAAAATGTCACTTTTCTAATTCTTTTTATTTTTCATGCTCCAGACAGCAGCGGGACAGCAGCCCGGATAACGGAGCCCTTCATGGGAACCTCCAGCAGCCCGCAGCGGACTCCCGCTCCACCCGGAGCCGCCGCGGACGCCTCCAACCCCGGCCACAACATCCACAGCTCCGGCTCCCCTCCACCCCACACCCCACGGACAACACACGCTCTCCCCGGGATCTCCTTACCGTTTTTCCGCCTCGGATTGGCTTGTTTTCGCCTCTTACACCTGGGGCCATCCGCCATGATCTCCTGCTTCATTGATAGGTGTGTGCGTGTGTGTGTGTGTGTGTGTGTGTGTGTGTGTGGAAAGTGGTGGAGGAGGTAGGGGGGATCAGATGGCAGCTCGCATGGACTCGATCCCTTGATTTTTCTGCGTGATATCTGCAGGGAAACAACAGAGACACGGAGCGTCAGAAGGGACATTTCTGGGGAAAATTGAAAAACGGAAATCTCCACTTTCATCCAACTTTACTTTTTTATAACCAGGAAATTTAATCAAATAATATTAATAATAATAACCTACAGCCCTCTTCATTCTTAGATTTTTATTTTATTTTATTTTAAAAAGTAACACAAACCTGGGAAAATACAAATAAAGTGAATTCAAACTTCTGCTGGTAATTAAAACACCGGGAGTAAATGTTCAAACAAGACAAAAATACAGAAATAAAGACGCTAAAAAACCGGACCTGAGCCTCGGCGCGCTCACAATTAACGCGAAAACAGCAGAAATGAGACCAAACTGAGAGGAAAAACGCTGCTTTATGTCAGGTCCAAATGTCCCGACCTCGAACCCGGATCGGAACACAATAAAGCTAAAAGAAAAAACCCAACTAATTTTAGTTCTGATCCAAACTTTCTTTTTAACACCAAATCTGAGCCGCTGGTTTCTGGATTTCGCGCTGGGCGTCTTTGGACATTTTCGACGTTTGTTCCAATCAAAGCAATAAAACAGAAATAAAAGCTCAGTGGGATTTCTGTCGGCTCGGTTCGCCCGGATATTCACACATGATGCTGGTTCCGATGAGAACGCGAGGCTGGAAGAAACGGGGTCGAGAGCGGCTCCGTGTCCGGAGAGAGAGCTCGCTTCCCCGGACTGTCAGATCCGAGCCGGGACGCCTCCTCTTCATCCTCCTCTTCATCCTCTTCCTTTGTTGGAATAAATAAGGAAAGGTGAACCAGCAGCGCACCTTCCCTTCCTTCCACCTGCGCAGGTAAGCCGAAGTTCAGCTCCAAGTTTTACGCGGACGCGCGCAAAGTTCAAATCCAAAGAAAATCTGGGGGAAAAAAACTGGAATAAAACTAAAAAAAAAAAAAAAAAAAAAAAAAAAAAAAAAGGCGACCCTCCCTCTTTTTTTTTTTTTTTTTTTTATTAAATGGAGGCGTTAAAGACGCGACTCTCAGATGGGAGCTGCCGAGGAGGGATGATGGCGAGCGGATCCTTTTCCACCGGTGATAATAATAAAGCCTTAGAAATAAAAGCCTCAGAAATAGTTGGGAGGAGGGAGGGACCGCTATTCCTGCTAGGGCAGGTTTACAACTGATGTCTTACACCCACTCCAGGAAACAAACCTGGGTAGGGACTGACGTGTTACGCCTCTTCTAATGACATTTTTTTCTCTCTCCTCTCCTTCCACCTCCTTTTCTCTGCCGTGCGGAACACAGAGGAGGAAGAAGGAGAAGCCCCCTGAAACGCACGCCACCTATCTTCACGGGAGGGGATAATTGAGGAGAGTCAAACGTGAGCATCTTCTGGGTTGAAGTTGTTTTTTTTTTTCCTTCTCTCTCTCTCTCTCTCTCTTTCCCTCTCTCTCTCTCTCTTTCTCCTCCTATCCGTTCTTTCTTGTTTTCTCGGCTTCGGCAGAAGAAATGCGGCTCTTTATTTTTGCAGAATCAGACGGGAAGCGGCTGGACTCGCGTAAGGATCTTTTTTTTCTCCCCCATTACAAATATGCATTCTGTGTATTTTAATTGATTTAAAAATGTTTATTTGCGTATCAGCGCACCTGCGTTGCGTCACCTGGATGCCAGGTGCGGCCAGGTGCGCCTCCAGGTATTTTCCCGCATGCAGAAATTCAACCAGAATCTGTGCAAACTTTATTGATTTCCTGACGCAGTTAATGCGGAGGAATTCAAGAAACTGCGGAAAAAAGTGGGTGAAATGTGGAAGTGGAGCGTGTTGGTGCTGCTGTGAGTGAATAACGCGCAGAGCGGAGCGGCGCAGCGCGCGGCGCAGGCTCCACCTTTGCGGCGTCCTGATTGGTTATGTAAATAAAGCGTTATTGTGTCCTGTCCTCCTGCAGCTCGCCACTGTATGGCTAATTAAATCATCAATCAAAAGGGGGAACCAAGCAGATCGACGCCTCGCAACCCTGGAAACTAAAAAAAAAGAGAGAGAATTTATTCTGATTTAACTTTAAAAAAATATTTTACACTTAAGAGGAAGTGTCTCCACAAGGAGGGGGGATAAATAAGCTTCATTTACATTATTTTATTGATTAAATGAATTGATGAATTAGTTTTAATGCGTTTCTGCCTTTTTTTGTTTTTCTTTGTCTGTAGGTGTGAGCAGAGGCTCAAATAAGGGGAGGGGGCGACGGGGCAGCAGTGGCCACCTTCTGCCCCCCAACCAGAAATAAATTATATTTGGATTTAAAAGAGGAAAATCAATTCTGCAACTTTTATGTTTTTATTTTGTCTTTTAGAGGAGTGGTGTCAGTGAAGTTGACTTCTTTTTAAATTTGTTTTTAAAAAGCAAAGATGAGATTTGACATTTATTTATTAGTAATTATAATTTATGTTTTATTTTGTCATTCAGAGCGATTAGCAAGCTGCAACATTTATTTATTTACTTGAATGTATTTTTTTTTTTCCTGCTGGGGTTCGATTTCACCAAACTAAAAATACCCTGAATGCATCATTTTGATGTTTCCTCTGCAGCAGGAGACTCAGAAGGATTTGCATCCTTTGGGTAAGTTTGGATTTTATTTGATTTATTTTCTTCTTTTTTCTTTTTAAATGTTTTCATCCAAAACAAAGAGGATGAAGAGGAGGAGCGTCTGTCCTGGTGCTGGATGCAGTCCTGGCTGAATTATCGTCATGCGTAATTTACTGCCACGGAGCGCGCATGTAAACCAAGCGCACACACACACACACACACACACACACACACACACACACACACACACACACAGGCTGGAGTGGCCTCCTCTGTGGGGCCACATATTCACCGTGAAAACGGATTACAGTGGCTGTGTGACCTATAGGGGGACCTTGTTCTTAATGAATATATGGCTTTAAATCAGGGGATTTGTTGACTCAGTTCTTTTTTAATAAAACATTCACATTTTGTTTTATTTCTGCAAAAAAAAAAGAGATGATTTTTTGTCTTATTCCTCTGAATAAAACCTGAAACCTTAAAAAAATGGCTTTTTTTTTTTCTTGGATCCTGTAAATGTCCTCTGTGTGTTTCTGCCTCTTGCGTTTTGTCGTTTTTTTTTTTCTCCGCAGCGTTGAACCTTCCAGGCGGCGCTGCAGAGAGGCAGCAGGGATGCTTCGCTGTCTTTTCGGTGGGGTTGCAGCTTCTGTCTGCGGGCTCGGGTTACGCAGCTGCTGCTCCGTGACGGAGCGAGTCGGCAGCAGAAACTCAGAACAAGACGCAGCTTCAGGATTTAAGCGACGAGCCGGAGGTCAGCACCTGCTGCAAGCAGCCTGGATTCGTCGCATTTCACCCATTTCTTGCTGCGGTTTGAGTCGGAACGGCTCTGGATTCGGACCCAGAGAGAGGATGCCGATGCATGCAGAGCCTCGGCACCTGAGCTGGGTTCTACACGCCGTGCATCCAACAGCTCAGCCGCCAGGCGTCCCTGATTATTGGCCTAATTTAGATCTGAGAGTCACGTGATGACGCAGAGCATCCAGCTATGAATTCAGGCTCCGTCCTGTCAGGAGGAATCAGACGCTTCTCCCAAACCTGTTGCGAGACGGAGGAGAGGTTTTTGAATTTAAAAAAAATTTCCTCAGAAATGTAAAATATTTCCGCTCACCTGAGGCGGAGCGTCAGCGTTTAATCCTGGATGAGGATTTCGACGGGAAAACGTTTCTGGCTTCCAGAGTCGTTTAAACAAACATGAGCCAACGCTTCGCTCTCCAGTCTGATCCGATTCCAAGCAAAAACAATGATTCAGCTTCTCCAGAGTCACAGAACCGAGTCTGAGCTTCAGCCCAGATCGCATCTGATCAGACGGTCAGCTGAGGTCAGGACCTTTTGGGTCAGGACATCAACTAAAAATGACACTTAATTCACCTTTTTCTCTTCCAAAAGAGACTTTACAGTGAGTACAGTCAACAATATGAAGACATTTCAGGTAAATTTACAGGTATTTACAACAAAACCCTAAAATAAACGATTCCACACCAAGTGAATTATTTTTGATTTGCACAAAAGAATAAAACTGAAGTAACAAATTATTTCCCCAAGTTACAGTTTGTAAATCCTGGATTTAGTTTTTATGAAGCATAATTAAAACCATTGAATTGATTATACATTTTCAGTAACTCTGCAGATAAATGTAAACTCATTTTAAGCAACTTTATAAGTAAATATAGAGGAGAATCTGGCGGTAAAACTCGTCATTTACCACATAATGTGGTGAAACAACTTTGACTTCCTTCATTTGCTGCAAACCAGTTCTTAACATCTTGATGTCACCATAAAGTTAGTAAATTCTAACAAACAGTGAACTATAAAACCAATAAAAACCGAATATTACAGGAAATTATCTCAACCGAATGCTGCAAATTCCTCTCTTTAATTCTTTTAACAACTTTACAGTCAATAAGTTCTGATTATATTCTAGAATATGAGGTCAGAAACAGTCAGTACGTACAGTTATAACTTTACATGAAGAAAATTAAACTTTTACAGACTTTTACATTATTCTGCATTATGGAGCCAAAATGGAAACGTAAAAATTTAGAATACATTCCTGCAGCTTTACGCTCAACTCATACAGGAAGTTGCATAATTTACTGCAAACCACTTAAAGGTGAGTGAATTTGTGGTTTTAATCTACAACAAGAAGCCAGAATAAAGCATAATTATTGATACATTTTATAAAACATTACATGAAATGATTGCAGTTTCAAAATAAAACTGAAAACTGCAGAGAAACTGCAGTTTCTCTGTAACTTTACAGTTCAGTTCTTGTTTTATCTGCGATTAAACAACAAAATAATCGATTTAAAGGATAATTTGTGACGCATTAACCCCCTTTTCTTAACTAATATTAAAAGATGTTGAATTCAACATGAACAAAAACAAAACAAGTCAATGTCAATCAATCAACCAAACAATATCATCATGTTTAAATTTATTTAGCACTAAACTGAGAAAGAAATTAAATATTTAGTTTGATTTGTTGTTTGTACGCTCTGGTTCTCCTGAACACTGCTCAGATTTCTTTAAAAGTAAAAATTTTAGTTTTTAAGCAAAAATGAATCAGAATCTCAGTAAGACAAAGATAAAGTCAAAGCTCATTTCTTGCTACATCAAGAACTTTAAAAGGTATTAGATCAATAAATCAGCAACAAAATGAATCATAAACTATTTAACTTATTAAAAGAAAAACAAACATATATTATTTAACTAGGGGTGGGCGACATGAACTTGAAGTTTTATCATGATATTCTGTAGTAGTATTGTGACAACAATAAAAATGATCATAAAAACAATTTATTACTTATTTATTTAGGTAAGTGTGTGGATGTGTCTGCCAATAAACACAAACAGAAACATTTCCAGTTGTAATATGATTCTTTAGGTCACATAAAAAATGTGATTTATGTAACTAAACTGCACACAGTAACTTATTTTAATCATTTTTTCTATTTTATTGATATTTATCGATACTCTCATGAAACAAACTGTGCAGAAAATAGCAAAACTAATAATCCAGACAATATGAACAGTTTAAACATCATTAATTAGAATTCATCAAA